GGGTGAGCGCCGGGTCGAGGGTAGAGGGTCGGGATAGAGCACGAGAGGCAGGGTCAAGGCGAAGGGCAAAGGCCAAAGGTTACCGAGCGCGCGGGGACCGGAGCTCTAGGGGTGTGGGGGGGTACCGCTTGGGCGACCGGGGCGACCGGGACTCCGGGCGGAGCCGGGGCCCGGGCCGGGGGCGGGGGGGCCGCGGTTTGCTGCCCCAACCCAGCTGACGTCTCTCCTTCGGCCCGCCGTGGCTCCGCCGCCGGCCCCGCGCAAGGTGGACGCTGCCTGCAGCGACAATGGCCTGGACTCAGGTAGGTGCCCAACGGCCCCCCCGACCCCTGCCTCCGGTCGCAGCAGCTGCTTGTCGTGAGCACGACGGCGACAGTGGCTGCCTGCCGTCCACCCCCTCCCTCTGGGCCTGGTCACGCACCCCGGGTTTGTCGCTTACTCCGTGAACCCTCTTCTTCCAGCGCTCTTTATGGAAAACTCGAGGAAAGGAAGCATAGTGTCACGAGCCAACAGTATCGGCTCCACTAGTGCCTCTTCTGTCCCCAATACAGGTGGGCCTGTGGGGTTTGTTCTCTGTGACCGTGGGTCTTTCTGCTCACTGTGGTGCCCAGCACGTAGCAGGGCTCGCAGCTCTCGCCCCTGTCCTGAGGGTGTGAGCGCGGCTGCCCCTCTGGCTGGCTGGGCAGGATTCCCACCCTGAGGTGGGGGGGGAAGGTGGTGGGGAACAGCGTCGGGGCATTGTGGTTTCTGGCAGCGTTTGGGGTGGGCAGTTGGTCAGGTTTTGACGCCTTCTTGAGGGAGCTGCAGGCGTCTTCTGCCCGCCCAGCTCTGCGAGGAAAGGGAAGGGGTTGTCAGGGCCTCTTATAGTGTTTGTTCTTGGCCCGACCTGCTGGAGCTGAGTGCTGCCCTAGGGGCACCAGGTAGTCCTGGGCCTGGCAGCAGCCCGTAAGGCCCACCTGGTACCTCGGCTGTCACCCCCTCCTTGCGCCTCTGCCCCCCGTGATTTGGGAGCTCACCAGTCAGGCGTCTTCACTCTCATGCGAGCTCTCTCCACGCAGATGATGAGGACAGCGATTATCACCAGGAGACCTACAAGGAGTCGTACAAGGACCGGCGCAGGCGGGCGCACACCCAGGCGGAGCGGAAGAGGCGAGACGCCATCAAGGTAACCTGAGAGGCTGTGTGTGCTGTCAGAGCACAGCGACTTTCTGGTTCCCGGGGCCCTGCACCTGCTGTTTTCAGCACCTTCCCCTTTGTTTTGCTGCTGGACCTACCCTCCCCAGACACAAGTGTGCTGGGAGCCACCTTGGCTCTGGCTGGCTGCTTGGTGGGAGCTGGGATTTGACACATTTTGAAACAACCAGTCTCACACTGCTGAACTCCAAATACATGTGCCATGGCTCTGCTTCCCCACAGAAAGGCTATGATGACTTGCAGGCCATTGTTCCTACCTGTGAGCAGCAGGATTTCTCCATAGGCTCCCAGAAGCTCAGCAAGGCCATCGTCCTCCAGAAAAGTGAGTCTTTGTTGTGGTTTAACCCCAGCCAGTAACTAAGCACCACGCAGCTGCTCACTCACTCCACCCCCACCCAGTGGGACGGGGGAGAGAACCGGGAGAAAAAAAAAAGTAAAATTTGTGAGTTGAGATGAGGACAGTTTAATAGAACAGAAAGGGAGAAAGTAATAATGATAATAATACCAATAATAAAATAGCAATACTAATAAAGGATTGGAATATACAAAACAAGTGATGCACAATGCAATTGCTCACCACTCGCAGACCGATGCCCAGTTAGTTCCCGAGCGGTGATCCCCCCCCAGGCCAGCTCACCCCACTTTATATACCGGGCATGACATCACATGGTATGGAATATCCCTTTGGCCAGTTTGGGTCAGCTGCCCTGGCTGTGTCCCCTCCCAACTTCTTGTGCCCCTCCAGCCTTCTTGCTGGCTGGGCACGAGAAGCTGAAAAATCCTTGACTTAAAGTTTATATTACTTAGCAACAACTGAAAACATAAGTGTGTTATCAACATTCTTCTCATACTGAATCCAGAACATAGCACTGTACCAGCTACTAGAAAGAAAATTAACTCTATTCTAGCCAAAACCTGGACAGTCTTGAGGGTGGGGAGAGGGAAGGGGGTGCTGTCAACCCCCAAAATGCGTCGCTAGAGCCATGCAGCATGGAAGTTCAGCACTTTGGGACCTTCTGGTATGAAGATGCTCTGGGGGACCCCAGGTGCTGTCCACCTCCCCAAGGAGAATCGGGGCAGCTGGGAGCTGATGCTGCCCAGGCTTAGGCACCTTCTGTGGGGATCTCGGGGTCTTGTGTCTGCTCTCAAATCCTCACTGTGTGTTTTCATGCTCAGCCATTGACTACATCCAGTTCCTGCATAAGGAAAAGAAGAAGCAAGAGGAGGAAGTTTCTACCCTCAGGAAAGACGTAATGGCCTTGAAGATCATGAAAGTGTAAGGGAAGAGCTGTCGGGGTGCTGCCGCCTTCTTCCTGCTGTTTTCCCCTGTCCTTGCAAGGCTCTGTGGATGCGCTCAGTGCTTCACAGGCAGCCTGGCATCTGGAGTACCAAACCTGTCCCTGCCTGCTGTCATTGTTTCTCCTCCAGCGGCTCGTTAGTGTGGGTCTGTCTCAAGTCAGTTGGTGGAGTTTAGTGTGAAGGTGGATCTGAGTCAGAAAATTAATCTGCTCCCAGTGTCAGGAGCGGCTGCAGCTCCCCAGTGTTTCTTTACTTGCAGGATCTTCCACAAACTCTTGGTCCTCCCCACCCCTGCAGCAGTTCTCTGTGGCCAGTGACAGGCAGTGAGCTCTGCCCCCGCAGCTGAGCAGAAGCGAGGTGTGGGAGGCCTCACTCTGCTGCTGAACACGGGGCGCTTGGTTTGTTTCAGGAACTACGAGCAGATTGTGAAAGCTCATCAGGACAACCCAAACGAGGGGAAGGACCAGGTCTCTGATGAGGTGAAGTTCAATGTTTTCCAAGGCCTTATGGATTCCTTGTTCCAGTCCTTTAATGCCTCCATCTCAGTAACGAGTTTTCAGGAGCTCTCAGCATGCGTCTTCAGCTGGATTGAGGAGCACTGCAAACCCCAGGTGAGCCCGGCAGCCGCAGGTGGGCTGTTGAGATGGCAGAGTGAAATGCGGCAGAGCCCATTGCGCACATCTGCGCCCAGTGCAGGACTGGGTGTGGCTGTCCCCTCTCCTGGGGCTTCCGAAAGTGCAGCATGTGACCGGTGCTGGGCTGGGGCAGGGTGGGAGTGTGGGGGGGACAGGAGTTGGGGCCCAAGCTCCAGCACGTCCCACTCCAGCTGCTGGACTGGTTTGGTGCTGAAAGCTGGCCAGGGTGAAACAGGGTTCAGGAGAGTCCTGCTGGTTCCCCATCACTCCTTCAGGACACTTAAAGGTTTTCTGGTAATTAAGAAACCACTGAGGGAAGCAGGCACTGAGGCAGGGCTGGGTCCCTGCCCTACTGCAGCTGCCTGAGATCCTGCGGCCCAGGAACAGAGGTGTGAGCGTTTCCCATACAGGTGTTGTGGTGCTGGGCACCGTGTGTGCCAGCCCCAGGGCCACGGCACATGCCCAAGCCTCTCATGGGTGTTGCTCACTGGGGACGGGCCATTCCCACACTGGAACAACTGACCGTGTCTCCTCTCTGCCCCAGGCGCTGCGGGACATTGTGATCGGGGTCCTGCACCAACTGAAGAGTCAGCTCTACTGAGCCTTCCCCTCGCAGTGCCAGCAGCGCCGGGGCTGCCGCCGCCTACTACACCCGCGGGGACGGGGCACCTCCTGCCCGGGGGCCTGGGTGATGGGTGCCAGGAAGGGCTGGGCCATCTCCCTCATGGCTGTTCTTAAAGCTTCTCTGAATTATTTATTGTATTAACTACAAAACCAAAACGAGGCTGTGCAGACACCTCTGCTCCACAGGTACTGTGACAGTCGATCTTACCAAATATTTGTAGGGACTTAGCAAAGAGAGGAAAAAAAGTGTGTACTGAGTAGAGGTCTTTTAAGGTGCCAGAGAGTCTTTAGCTCAGGCAGGCACAGTGGGGTTTGCCTGTGTCACTGACTCTCCACTGTGAAGCAGATCTGCTCCGTAACCTCAGGCCTCTGACACAACCCCTTCTGATCCTGGGGAAGGGGGAATGAAACAAGAACGGATGCTAAAAGCTGTTGGTTTCTGTAAAAACAGACTATGAATAGGCTTCTCCCGTAACTGCGGGCTTTCTTGTACCTCTCTCTGAACCAGCTCTTACAGGGCAGGGTTTTTAAGTTAAGTTGTGTAGATGCTTTGGGGAAGCTGGCAGAGCTGGCTGAAGGATGGGCCCCTCACCACCAGGGAGACCCTTACTCGGCACAGCCACAACCTCCCTGGTGCAGAGCTGGCAGCACGGGATGGGGACTTGCTAAAACCTGACCTCTTCTGCTGTAGCTGTAGTTCCCCTGAAAGGGAGATGGGAGTGAGCTTTCTGTGCCGGCTTTTCCTGAGCGAGTGCTGAAACGTGTGTGGCTTCATGTCTTTGGGTTTTGATGTGGCCGTACTGAACAGGAAAGCAGTTCAGCAGCTGTAGGACAGCACTGCCACAAGCTCATGCTGCTCCTCCTTAGAACTTTTATATACGCACATATATACATAACCAGCCTTGATTTGATTTTATTTTTTTGTTTTTATAAATCACTGAAATCATCCTGAAATATTATCAGTGTCAGCTTTGCAGACAGATGCTCTCTGGAATACTTTTTAACCTGTCACATGCTGCTGCTGTCAGTATGGTTCATGGCTCTGGCCAACACAAATACATTGTGGCACGGTGTAGCCGTTGCCCAAGTGATGGTTGTTCACCGCACAGAGCGATTGTATCAGGGTCTTCCTGCGCGGTGATGCTGGCAGCAGGATTTGTTCTCTGTAATCATGTTCGTGCTCCTGCTCCAGGGTAGTGGATATTTATTTTTACACTGTTTTTCCACTGTTGATGAGGTAGCACTTGGCGCCAGGTTATGTGGTTTGAATGCTGCAGCATGAGAATGTTTAAAGCTACTGCTCCACTTCATTTAGTAGTGGAGAACCCACTCGGGGGTATGATTTCTATATAGAATTATTCTTCAAACCCTGCCTTTGGGTGTCCTTTCCAAGGCAATGCAATGGAAGCCTCAGAGTCAAACCCTGCAGTGATGCACATCACTGATAAAGCATGCACAGGGTCAGCTGTGTCCGGTCTGGAAGATATTGCTTTGTGATGAAAAAAATCCTCTCATGGGTGAGCAGGTTAGGGTTAGGGCTCTGCGGCTGAACAAGGGGCACAGACTGAACCCCTGGAGATTTTCTGCCAGAAGCTGCCTTGGGAGGAGGACATGGAGTTTTACAGACCTCACATGTGAAAGCGACATATTTTTCTATTGTGAAAAGTAATTAAATAAATTTTGCTGAATGGTTTAATGATTTTTCTGCTTTTATTTCTGTTGCCAAGTTCCTGGACCCTTCCCCTAGAACCAGTCAGAGACAGAGAGGTAGTTTATGGAAGCCCGGCCCAGCCGTCATGGCTCAGGTTACTTGCTCCTGGCTCTTGCCTTCCCCACCCCTCAGGGCTGCTGTGACCGAGAGCCCAAGCCCTGCCCTGACACCCTTTGAACAGAAAAGCACCACAGCAAAGCACAGCTGAACCAAAAGCCTGGTGTTTAATGGGCTGTTTTCTCCTGCACCACTCAGTCACGCTGTGGGAAGTGGCTGAAATACACATAGAGCTCTGCAGCCCTAACAGTCACTAGATCATTCGCCTTCCTGAGGCACTCTCTTCCTTTTCTTACTGGAACACCAGGGACTCTACAACAGTATACTTACACCTTCCCCGCGACAGCTCGCTGCACCAAAGCGCAGGAAGAAATAACATTCCCTCTGCACATGAGACAGTGAGAGGGCCCAGTGCTGAGTCAATCCCTGCAGCCACCCTTCCAGCTGCAAAGCATTTTAAAACAAACACACATAAATATGCAGGACCAGCCCAACCCCTGCAAAAAGAGGAAAAAAAAACCCAACAGCTGCATTTCAGCATCAGCTCCTTCTTCCTGGGGCAAAGGCTCCTGCAGTGCCTCACACAGCTGCCGGCAGCGTGACGTTATGGTCCTCGTCCGTCTCTATCCCAACCTCCTCCTGTACAGGCGCAGAGCGTCTCAGCAGGGCAGCTGCCCTAGCCTGGCAGCGTAGGCAGAGCCGCCACTACCACCCTGGGGCCACAGGGCCAACCCGGCCTCAGTACTTACAAAGAATTGCTTCTTGCTTTTGGGGTACCCCTCCAGGATGGCCTCCAGCAGCTCAGTCGCCTGGCAAGACAGGGGCACTGTGAGGGCTGTGCCGAGATGCCAGTGCCAGGCAGCCCTGGCCACAGCTCTTGGGGACTGTCCCCCGTAGGCACGTCACAAGCCAGCGCAGCTCAGGTGACAGCATGGGGGCAGCCATCTCTAATGTGAGAAGATTCTGGTTTGTTTCCCGAGGACAGACAGAGCTCTACAGGGACTCATGTATTTAGGTGCTGCAGCAACACAGCCTTTTCCCAGGGGATCTTCTTGGTACCCACGAGCCTTCCCCAAACCCACATGGCCCCGGGGGCAGCACTGAGCGCAGCCGGCACAGCACTCCCTGCTCCACAGCTACAGCCATCGCCCAAGGTCTCCTCACTTGGCTCTGCAGCGGTGGGAAGCCGCTCCACTCAAACAGGGGCTGCTCCCCGAGCTGCCCAGCAGACCCCATGTCCCCGGCAGGGTGCCAGTGCCACTGCAGGACTGTCACTGCCACCTCCCCAGCACTGCCCACCTGCCCTGCTTGATGGCATGACCATTACCATTCGCTTCCTCCTCCGCCACTCCTTGCAGTACAGCTTCTGCTCGCTACAGACCTGTGAACAGCAAGACAAAAGTGAGAACGAGCAGCCATCCCACGAAGCTGCCATAAGCCCAAGGCTGGGAGACAGAGGGTTATTTAACAGCACAAGTGGCTCATGAAGCCCCTGCGGGGACGTGAACCTCTCTGCAAAACGCATCACCTGAGACAAGAAAAGATGAATTGACCAAGTGGCAGATGACTGCCCAAAGCAAAGGTTTGCAAGGAAGAGGCAGCTCAGGCTGTTTCCTAAAGATGCCCCGAGAGTCGTCACCATCACGCACACAGCTGAGGCTCACGCAGAGGCTCTGCGGAGCAGCCCAGGTCCCACGCAACCCCCTGTACTGGTATCAGTCGGACCGGGGACCAGGTAAGACGGTGAAGGGTCTGGTACAATTGGCCCAGCCCCAGCCTGAGCTCTGCTGCTGGTGCTTGGCTCAGGCCCTGGCAGCTCTTTACCTTCTCTTTTTCTTCTGGAGTCACGTGGTTGGCGGCAGACTTAATCCTCTCCAGCTTCTCTGCGTAACTCGCGCAGTCCTTCCTCAGCTCCTTGATCTCTCCGGCCATCTCAGGCGTTGTCATGGAGCTGTTCAGGTCCTTCAGCTCTGGAAAAAAGGCACCGATCACCGGTGGGACTGACAGCCCAGGCACAGCCGCCCATGCCCGCGGGGTCTCAGCCAGCGCAGCCGATCCCGGTGCCGCGGGGGGGGGGGCTGGCCGGGCAGGCAGGGTGTGCTCACCCGCCTCCATCTGCCGGCAGCTCTGCTGTAGCGCCTGCACCTTGGTGGAGAGCGCGGCGATCTCCCCGTCCAGGCCGCGGAGCTCCGACTCGCTGGCGGCCGGGAGCTGCTCCTGCGGCGAGGACGGAGGCGGCGGGTCAGCGGCGGCGG